TGAGCTTCAGACGAGACAATCTGAGTATGAGCTATCTCCCACCGTCGTGAATGGCCTTATGTCTATTAAACTCTTTCTTTACTGCAGTGCTGGGTTCTTTCTTCATACAGTGGGTAGGAAGAAACACTTGGGTGGTTACAACCTGGCTGAGTGATCCCCAGGCCCTAGTGCCCATGGGGCCCTGGTCTCCACTCCTCCCCACAACCCCCACAGTGGGCCATGCTGACGGTTCTGCTAGACGCTTTAGGTCCTCACTGCACTGGGGTCAGGACTCAAACATCAGCTGTTTGGCTGGTGGAATAAACAAAACTTTTCCATTTCAGGTGGTAGCACACAGAAATTCTTGTGATTTAATGCTTTTCATCCCGCCAGGGAAAACCATTTTCTTCTTAGAGACACTAGTCCTGACAACCTATTTGTTTTCTCAAAGCAGTGATGTTTCTAGAATTTGTAAGTGCCCGTGGTGGGGGAGGAGGGCTGATTGGAAAGGGGAATGGGGACCTGCAGAGAGAGGAATGAGCTTCCCGCAATGATTTCTGATATGAAGAGAAGGAAAAAAGATAACATGGTTTAGTTTTCTCTTTTACCTTCGAAAAGGGCACCGTGTTATCTTGTTTCTTTTTCATAATCCTCTCTCAGGTTGCTAATTAGGGGGTGATTTCTTCGCCCGGAGCTGTTCTCCAGAAGCCCTGTTGCCTGGGCTTAACTACTGCTTTGAAAGCTGAGGTTTGTAAATGTGGCTCAGCTGGAGAAATGCCCCCACAGAGGCTGTAGCTCTGAGCTGAGCCCAGCGCTTCACAGAGAGGAAGGAGTTTTCAGTGTGTCTATCCCCTGAACCAGCTCATTTGCCTGCCACCATACCTGGCTAATTTTTGTATTTTTAGTGGAGACAGGGCTTCACCATGTTGGTCAGGCTGGTCTCAAACTTCTGAACTCGTGATCCGCCCACCTTGGTCTCCCAAAGTGCTGGGATTACAGGTGTGAGCCACTGTGCCCTGCCCAAATCTCTTAAAAACAAGCATCCTTCAAACCCAAACCCAAATACATATAAATGTGGGTTTCTCTCTCTCTTTTTTTTTTTTTTTTTTTTTTTTTTTTTTTTTTTGAGACAGAGTCTTGCTCCATCACCCAGGCTGGAGTGCAGTGGCATGATCTTGGCTCAGTGCAACCTACTATTCCCGGGTACAAGTGATTCTTCTGCCTCAGCCTCCTGAGTAGCTGGGATTACAGGTGTGTGCCACCACACCGGGCTAATTTTGTATTTTAGTAGAGACGGGATTTCATGTTGTTGGCCAGGCTGGTCTCAAACCCCTGACTTCGTGATCCGCCCACCTCGGCCTCCAAAAGTGCTGGGATTATAGGTGTGAGCCACCACACCCAGATATGGGTTTCTCTTTTTGAAAAAATGGGACTATTTTACAACAGCTACAATTTGGGGACAAAGAGGTGTCAAATACCATATTGGCATGGACAACATATAGGCAGCCTCATATCAGTTAAGAAAGGCCAGTTGAGTGTCTTCTAGAAAATCACACCCAAAAGAAGAAGAAGAGAAGGAGGTTCTCTTAACCTGAGTGCTGGGAAGGAGCAGGGCAGGGTCAGGGGGCCCAGACCAGGTCATACGTTGGAAAGATGACCTGAGGGGGCTCTCATTTTCTCCTTTTTCTCAGACAACCGGTCACTCCCTGGGGTTTGACTCATCTTCAAAGCAAGTTAAAATAAAGGCAGAGCTAGATGAGGGCCCACCTATTATTTATTTATTTATTTGACTTTCACTGCTTTACAAATGTCCATTTTTGTGAGGAGGGTCTGTGACCATCCCACTCTCTCCAAGGGCCTCTCACTCCCCTTTATCCTGGCCAGACCATGAGATCCTCCCTCTGGGAAGGTGCAGGGTCACTCAGCTGTGTGGCTCTGTGCAGCCCCAAATCCTGACTGCTCCACAGTTGATTGCACCCTCCCTTCTGTGTGGCCAGTTGGGAGGAAGACAGGGAGTACACTGGTCTTGTTCTTAAGGGCCCAATCTAGATGCCACCCTAGGCCACACTGGGCTGGCGGCGCCTGACCTGGGACTGTGGTTGGAGGGGCTGCCTTGGATTGGGCTGGTTAGAAGTGACCCCTGCCCTATCACACAGTTCCTGAGATGAGCATTTGAGTATAAATTATTATTATTACTATTTTTGAGATGGAGTTTTGCTCTTGTTGCCCAGGCTGGAGTGTACTGGAGTGATCTCGGCTCACTGCAACCTCCGCCTCCCAGGTTCAAGTGATTCGCCTGCCTCGGCCTCTAGAGTAGCTGGGATTACAGGCACCCACTACCACGCCTGGCTAATTTATGTATTTTTAGTAGAGATGGGGTTTCACCATGTTGGCCAGGCTGGTCTCAAACTCCTGACCTCAGGTGATCTGCCTGCCTCAGCCTCCCAAAGTGCTGGAATTAGAGGCATGAGCCACTGCACATGACTGAGTATACGTTATTAATATTTGGAGTAATCTCAGGTAGCACAACCAGAGAGTGGGGCAGTGGGGCCAGTGACGGGGATTCCCTTCAACAGGTAAATTGTAAGGCAAAGAAACAGATGGACTTGGACAAATGGATAGAAACAGTGTCTAGGGATGCGGCCAGGGTGACATACCAGCAAGAAATGTGAGGGACAAGCCAGGGACATTGGGATGTGGCCACCTTCCTGGGGCAGGAGGGAGCGTGGGAAAGCCTCTGGGTGGGGGTAGAGCTTCTTCATGACCCTGGTGAGGAGTGCAGGGGTGTTCCTCTTAAAGTAACTCGTTCAGCTGTGTGTTTGTTTTGTGTGGTTTTCTGAATCTCATTTTTATTTTACAGTCAAAGCCGGAAGAAACACATGGACGAGATCAGGAAAAAATCATGGGGAGGCGTGAGAAAATGTCTCTGCGTAGGCTGCTGGAATGTTTCCTTTCTAGGGAGGTCTAGCAGACTTTTTACACTACAGAGATTTTATACAAAAAGCTCTTGCCTTTTGTCTTTGACTTGGGTACCCAAGAGTTGAAGTGATTTCCTGTAACTATGAATTATGCCCCGCTTCCTGGTTTAGTTGCTTTTTGCTCAAGTTGATACAAAGATGAATGAGATTGATAATGTTGTGGTTTCTTATCATCCAAATGCAGGCGGCTTGAATCCTCCAGGTTTGGCCCTACAAGAAGTCATGTGTTCTCAGGTGAGATGCTAAGACCCTGGGCATTTGCACATGATAAAAATGGCCCAGGAAGGAGCCCAGGGACTCCTACATCCCTGATGACCTTCGCTGTGGCATTGAGTCATTTTGGCCATGGCACCCTCCATCCTAGGGGCTAGTCTTTAAGAATTCATCAAATCTCTCTCTCTTTTTTTTTTTTTTTTTTGAGATGGAGTCTTGCTCTGTTGCCCAGGCTGGAGTGCAGTGACATGATCTCAGCTCACTGCAACCTCTGCCTTTCGGGTTCCAGTGATTCTCCAGCCTCAGCCTCCTGAGTAGCTGGGATTATCCTGAGTAGCTGGAATTATAGGCGCCCGCCACCACACCTGGCTAATTTTTGTATTTTAGTGGAGACGGGGTTTCACCATGTTGGTCAGGCTAATCTCAAACTTCTGAACTCGTGATCCGCCCACCTTGGCCTCCCAGAGTGCTGGGATTACAGGTTTGAGCCACTGTGCCCTGCCCAAATCTCTTAAAAGCAAGTACCTGGCCGGGAGTGGGGAAGGGATGGGACAAGGACAAACATTCTGACAAAATGATAAAACAACAGGTCTCAAAAGTTGAATACCATTGGATTATACTCAGGGGATACAGATTTAAAGGAAAAAGTTCCAAGTCAAAAGCTGTGTGGGTCAGTGGAGTCCCCCGCCTCACCCTGACGTGAACAGCTACTTCCTATTGTACAGCTCCTTCTTTCTTCATTTCCCCTCACAGGAAATGAGGTGTTTGGAGATGGTTTAATCTGGAAATATAGTACATTTTATGAGGATGTGATAGCACGTGGGGCGTGAACATCTCGTCTGGGTCAGCATTCAGGTGCCTTAGCTCCAAGCAACAGAAAGTCTTTCTTATCAGGGACAGGGGATGGGGGCGGGGTGCATATAGGTTCTTTTAAAAAGGTCCGGGAGCCAGTTTGCTCCAGAAACAGGCACAACCCAAGGATGGGGCCCTTCCCTGTACTCTGCATGCTGCCACCCTGGCCATGCCCACTGAGTGACCTCTTTTCCCTGTTATGGGGGAGAGAAGCCTCTCATGGGCTGAGCCTGGGACTGTGCCAGGTTGTGGCCGCAGAGTCAGGGAGGAGCAAAGGAGTCTTCCATGGGCAGGCAAGACCTAGCCCCAACTCCCAGAGGGGCCATTCATGGGGTTTGGAAGCTGGGACACACATACATACATATACACTCATATATATGAGTCTCATATATATAACCCTTATGCTCATGTACATATACATACACAACACTCATATACACACACCACTACATGCACACACACACAAACACTCACATACAGATGTATGCTAAGTTAAAGACGGAATTTTCTTCTTTTTTATTTTTGTAGAGATGGGATCTTGGTATGTTACCCAGGCTGGTCTCGAACTCCTGGGCCCAAGTGATCCTTCCACCTTGGCCTCCCAAATTGCTGGGATTATGGGCATGAGCCACCGCACCTGCCCAGGACTGAATTTTCAACCGTGGGTTAGGACTACAGGGGTTTTGTGATTTTTCTGATTTGGTGACGGTAGTTCTCCCATCAGGCTTAACAGACAACAGAACGGTGTCTATGTCACGGGTTTTGTTCTGAAATGAAAGGCCTTCGTGCTGGGTGGCTGCTGCTATTGTCATTAGGAGTAGCTGGCATAGTTAGTTTTGGGGAGGGTGATGATGAAGCAGAAGAATCGCTTGAACTTGGGAGGTGGAGGTTGCAGTGAGCCGAGATAGCACCACTGCACTGCAGCCGGGCGACACAGCGAGACTCTATCTCGAAAAAAATAAATAAATAAAAATACAAGAGGGCGTGCTGCGGAGGAACGGCTGTTGGTTTCTGGTGGATTCAGGTCCTCGGCTGGTCGGGACTCCGGTGTTCTGCTTCTCTCCGCTGAGCTGCTGCCTGGTGAAGAGGAAGCCATGGCACTCCGAGTCACCAGGAACTCGAAAATTAATGCTGAAAATACGACGAAGATCAGTATGGCAGGCGCAAAGCGTGTGCCTATGGCCCCTGCTGCAACCTCGAAGCCCGGACTGAGGCCAAGAACAGCTCTTGGGGACATTGGTAACAAAGTCAGTGAACAGCTACAGGCCAAAATGCCTATGAAAAAGGAAGGAAAACCTTCAGCTACTGGAAAAGTTATTGCTAAAAAACTACCAAAACCTCTGGAAAAGGTACCTGTGCTGGTGCCAGTGCCGGTGTCCCAGCCAGTGCCAGAGCCAGAACCTGAGCCTGTTAAAGAAGAAAAACTTTCACCTGAGCCTATTTTGGTTGACACTCCCTCTCTAAGCCCAATGGAAACATCTGGATGTGCCCCTGCAGAAGACCTGTGTCAGGCTTTCTCTGATGTAATTCTTGCAGTAAATGATGTGGATGCAGAAGATGGAGTGGATCCAAACCTTTGTAGTGAATATGTGAAAGATATTTATGCTTATCTGAGACGACTTGAGGAAGAGCAAGCAGTCAGACCGAAATACCTACTGGGTCGGGAAGTCACCGGAAACATGAGAGCCATCCTAATTGACTGGCTAGTACAGGTCCAAATGAAATTCAGATTGTTGCAGGAGACCGTGTACATGACTGTCTCCATTATTGATCGGTTCATGCAGAATAATTGTGTGCCCAAGAAGATGCTGCAGCTAGTTGGTGTCACTGCCATGTTTATTGCCAGCAAATATGAAGAAATGTACCCTCCAGAAATTGGGGACTTTGCTTTTGTGACTGACAACACTTACACTAAGCACCAAATCAGACAGACGGAAATGAAGATTCTAAGAGCTTTAAACTTTGGTCTGGGTCGGCCTCTACCTTTGCACTTCCTTCGGAGAGCATCTAAGATTGGAGAGGCTGATGTTGACCAACATACTTTGGCCAAATACCTGATGGAACTAACTATGTTGGACTATGATATGGTGCACTTTCCTCCTTCTCAAATTGCAGCAGGAGCTTTTTGCTTAGCACTGAAAATTCTGGATAATGGTGAATGGACACCAACTCTACAGCATTACCTATCATATACTGAAGAATCCCTTCTTCCAGTTATGCAGCACCTGGCTAAGAATATAGTCGTGGTAAATCAAGGGCTTACAAAGCACATGACTATCAAGAACAAGTATGCTACGTCGAAACATGCTAAGATCAGCACTCTAGCACAGCTGAATTCTTCACTAGTTCAAGATTTAGCCAAGGCTGTGGCAAAGGTGTAACTTGTAAACTTGAGTTGGAGTACTATATTTACAAATAAAATTGGCACCATGTGCCATCTGTACATATTAAAAAAAAATACAAGAGATATAAATGTGTTCTATGTCATAGCAAAGCATCTTTCAGGTGCCCTGGTAGGTTTTTCTGAAGATTTGGGCTTATATTTTCTAAAAGGAGAGTGGGTGATTTTAACGTGACAAGTTATGTTTGCAGAGCAGACGGTCATGGCTTGTTCCTCTGCTTTTCCACTTGACTTCCCGCCCTTCCTTGTGTTACCAGGAGTCCTGTCAGCTGAACCTCTTGCTCCCGTACAATCTATTCTGTCCTGCTCTGCCTGGGCTGTATCGCCTAGGAAACCACCACAGGCGTTTGACCAGCTCCTGCTCTCTGGGCAAGTGTGCCCAGCCCTAGAACTTGACAGTGGGGTCAGGCGCCTGCAGCCAGTGACAGCCAGCCTCTTGCAGAGTCTTGCCACAGTGTGTTGATACTGTACATCTGCCACTTCTCTAGGTGGGCGCTACCTGGGGGCAGGTACTTTCTGACTTCTTGATTTGCATCCTGGCCAGCTGGTGCTTCAGGAGCGTACTACGCCATAAGGAATTGTGGGTAAATGCACAAGTGAGTGAATGCGGGCATTTATTTGCTCACCAGGTGTGGGTGGAAAGTCTCGTAAGTGCTGAGGCAGGAGACTGAAGCCTCAGCCAGTTTCTGTTTCATAAATAGAATATAGAAAGAAGAATATACAGGTATTGATCGACTTATGACCTATGCAACTTATGACCATTCAACTTTACGACCACAATTGCTAGCCACGACTGCTCCGCGTCTGGCAGTGCAAACGTTGCCCAGTTGGGCGTACGACAGTGTGGACCAGCTTCTGGCAGCACTACCATCTCTGCGTGCACCATTTCAACTGTACATATAGCCTACTCAACTTACGACCAAATCGTGTTACGGCCGCTCTGCCGGTCCCAGTCATGGTCGTAAGTCGAGCACTAGCTTAGGAATAAGTAGCACGAGTAATTAGATATCAATCTTATTGAACATTAAGCCTTGATCGAGCGTCCTTGTACTTTACGAATGATTATCTAGGAACCTCGGGTTGCTGTGGTCAGGGACTGACAGGGGACACTAGGGAATGTGGCCATGAGGCAAGACCATTCATACCTGTCGAACATCAACTGGTGGCGATCAGCAGGGACCACTTGTTGAATGCTGAAACCAAGCCCTCTGTCACACCCGCATAAGGGTTGTTGAAGCGCATCTAAAATCTCTGTGGTTGCACCAGTGCTTGGGGAAGCACCCGCTACTCAGCAAACCATGGAAGGGAACATCCCTGTCCTTGGGCGGGTCAGAGAACGCTCCACTCCCCCACGCTCTTGTGGAAGGACTGCTATCAGTCAGGCCAACCCGCAGCTACAGGGGGCTTAATTGTCTCTATGTGGTGCTGTGCTGTATTGGTTACATCTGTGTCTGCTTTCACTCCCTACTTCTGCACCTGGTTCCTCTTTTGTAGATAGTAAGAAGTAGCATAATTCTTGAAGCCTTTTTTTTTACTTGACAGGCATAGCATGAAGTGCTGACTCATCTCGCTGCCCCCTGCTTCGGCTACTAGCAACCCTGGGCCCTCTGTTTTGTACCTAATAAAAGTCAAAGTGTCCAGACACTTGGGGCCACTACCGGACTCCGCACACTGGTGGTAGTGGACCCCTGGGCCCAACTCTCTTTCTCTTGATTTCGGTGTACCGTGTCTTTATTCTACAGTCCTTGGTCTCAGCACCGGTAGAGAATACCCTCTAGACCCAGCAGGGCTGGACTCTGCAACTGGGTCCACATTTCTTAAAATGAGTTTGAAGCTCTTCCTAACTCCAGTGATAGTAGCTGATTTTTGTTCCAAATTCCAGAGGAAGGTTTTAAGACAGATTTGCAAATTACTGGAAGGAGGACAGTTCTCTGGCCCTGGGGCCAAGCAGAATTGCTAGGAAAGGGTTGGACAGGGCTTGCTGGTGGGTAGGGAGGGCTCTGTTCTCTTGGGTGGGAAGGAAAGCTGAGGGATACACACAGGGCATCCTCACTGAGTAACCACACATGCCCTATGGCATGACTTGGAGAGGGCTTGGGGTCAATGAGGCCCTTAAAGCCATGTAGAGAAAAACCCCAAAAGAGCAGGAGAGTCAGCGGGAGATGCTCAATGCTCACCTGCTCTAGGAAAGTTGCAGTTTTGCTTTGTTCTGCACTGAGCCATCCTCCTGGTCCTGTTTAGGTTACAGGCACCTTGAAATAAAAAGACAAGAACCACTGAGCCCGTTGGTGGATGCTGAACCATCTGGGGAGAGGAAGACAGCACCTGGCCAAAGGTGACATGAAGGGTCCATGCAGGAGGGGTGTGGTGGGCCGCCGGCAGCTGTGCTGAGTCAGGCCGGGGTGGGCAGGTCCCAAGCTCAGGGTCTGGCTCCACATGTCACACCTGAGACTCTGGGCGAGTCTCAGTTTTAATCTCCTTGTGTCTCAGTCTTCCATTCTGATAAATGGGGATAACCTCAGTCACTCATGAAGGGCTGCACTCCAGAGCAGGAATTACACGGGGGTGGAGAACAAGGATGCTGGGCTTTAGGTGAGCCTCGGAAATGTCACTGGAAACCAGCAAGCCTGGCCTCTGTGTAATTACATCTGAAGTGATTAAGAAGATGTGCTTATCTGGAAAATAATTGGTTCATGGGGTTAAACAGAATTTTCTTCTTCTGTTTTTTGAGACGGAGTCTCGCTCTATCGTGCAGGCTGGAGTGCAATGGCATGATCTCTGCTCACTGCAACCTCCACCTCCCAGTTTCAACTGATTCTCCTGTCTCAGCCTCCCAAGTAGCTGGGATTACAGGCACGCACCACCACACCTGGCTAATCTTTGTATTTTTAGTAGAGATGGAGTTTCACTGTATTGGTCAGGCTGGTCTTGAACTCCTGACCTTAGGTGATCCACCCAGCTTGGCCTCCCAAAGTGCTAGAGTTACAGGCGTGAGCCATTGTGCTCGGCCAGAACTTTCAAATGTTGACCTAGTTCATATAACCTAAAACATGAAAATATATTATATAAAACATAAACCACACTTTTTAATACCACCACCAGTCTCTCACGAGAAGTCTGTAAGTACTGGGAAACTGTGCAGCTCTTGGTGCTGGGTAGAAGCCTTTCAAAATTTTAATTTTTGCTTGAAAGATTTAATAATATCACTGGTAATAAATACTATTAGTTGATTCTTTTAAATGGACAGGTTCAAGTTATTCATGTCTAAGAATATGTCACATAACCTATGTCTAAATATTCATAGTTCGTCT